ACTCGGTTGGGAGAGAGCCTACAGCAGAAAACAAATTGGTGTAGGGGAGCAATGTCTAAGGTGTTCCCAGCATACATGACGTGGGCGGAGGCCGCGCCCACAATGGGCGGAGCGCGCTCTGAAGTGTACAGCGTTTTCTACAAGTCCTCATAATTCGGGCCGGAGAAGTCTTAGCCGGAAAAGGTTTTTTTTTTTTTTTTTTTTTTTTTTTTTTTTTTTTTTTTTTTTTTTTTTTTTTTTTTTTTTTTTTTTTTTTTTTGGTGAGGTGGGGGAGGGAGTGGGAGCCCAACTGCTAATGGTGGGCGGAGTATGTCTAAAATGGGCGGAGTTATCCACGGAAATTCATGACTCGCTCTCCAATAAGTTTTGGAGACCGGGAAAAAAAGTGATTGAGTCCTTCAAGGGAAGGGAGATCCACTTATGTCGGTGGGTGAGGCGTGCACCAAAGGGGGCGCGGCTTGCGACGGAAAATAACAAGTTATACGAAGTCCGCGCGCTCTGAAGTGTACAGCATTTTCTACAAGTCCTCATAATTCGGGCCGGGGAAGTCTTAGCCGGAAAAAGGTGGATAGAGGTGGGTGGAGGAGTGGAGCCCAACTGTCATGGTGGGCGGGGCATGACCAAAGTGGGCGGAGTTTGCGACGAAAATTCATAACTCGGTTCCAAGAAGTCCTGGAGACCGGGAAAAAAGTGAATTGAGTCCGCAAGGGAAGGAGGTCCAACTGCTATCGGTGGGTGGGGCGTGCACCAAAGTGGGCGGGGTTTGCGACGGAAAATAACAAGGTTCATAGAAGTCCCGGGTTTCGCCGTCAATAGTATAAATCGGCTCAGAGACAGTTCAGAGATCGGGTAAAAAGTGGGAGAGGTTGGCGAGGAAGAAAAAGATAGGTGGGACATGCAAAGAAATAGGCGGAGTTTACCACGAGATTCATAAATCGGTCCAGAGGCAGTCCGAGACCGGGAAAAACGGACAATTGGTGGACGAAGGAGGGAAGGTCAAAAGCCATCGGTGGATGAGGCATGGGACAATCGGATAGAATTCAGCTTGAAAGTCAAATATTCGAAGTGTATTGGGCCAAATTCGAGAATTTACGCCGCACCATCCCATATCGCCGCAGAACTGTGCTGTGCGCGCAACGCGTGCTGCGCCAACTGGTAAATCAATAAGTAATATATAATTAGCGAATGGATGCTTACTATTTATTCTTTCTTTTCGAAAATCGGCGGCTATCGCAATAAATGGGGGGACCCTAGAGAGCTGACCCTATGAGGGTGCCGGAACCGGAACTCCGGGAAAATGACCCACGCTGCGGTCTCTCCTCCCGCACCTGAAGCTTAGTCCCTTTTTCAACAGAAAAACACATGTTTTACGCGGTTCTAACTTTATTGTCACAACAGTGTCCCCGTATCTTGCGATAGCGCCCAAAATTCTTCTCTTTAAAAAACTGATTATGATGAGATATGGCTGCGTATAGTGAAAGAATTTAGATGGATGCACTTTTTTGTGGCAATGGCGATTGCAACTCTCAGCTCTGATGCTATTCTTCATATAATTCCGCAGGTGGGTAACTAAAACCATACGAAACCTGGTCCTCATTGGAATTTCTTCTATTTCAGCTTTGTGGTGCACACAATCATGATCATCAAGTTGGCCACGAACACCCCACCACCAATCTGACGTCAAATGCTACACAGGTCTTTTAGTTTAAAAACCTATAAGATAATGTTGGGAGATGCTTGAGCAGGTTGAGCACTTTGATGAAGTGGAGCTCAACACGTTATCTGCACGTGAGACAGCAAAATGGAGAGCTTGAATGCAGCAACGTTGGGAAAAGTGTTCTGCTCTGTCAACTGTGACTTTGGTTGTAAGACAATTCGTGCCAGTGGCTGCGAAAGGGCTCTTCAAAACATGTCCCAGGATCAAATTGGTGTGTTCTTGCACACGAATGCGAATGTATTGGTGCGAAATGGGCCGGCAGGAAAAAGGAAAAGAATCCGTCGAAAACGCTTAGGTTAAGGGCTCACTCACCTTCCTAATCGGCTGTGCTAAGGGAATGAGAGACTAAGCGCGGAGAGGAGAGTATGAGGCGAGAGAGCGCAACAGATGAGAGGGCGCCAGACAACAGCCTGATAAAAGAAAAATTGCAGCTGCAGCAGCTTACTTTGCAAGGCCCTAGCGCTCTTGTCGGGTATTTCCGTGCACGGAATGCCACATCTGTGATTGTCCTCTAGAATTTATCCTACAGACCGAAGGCAGTCTGCCTGAAGTTGTGTTTTAGATCGCGTCTTGCCAGCACAACTTTTGTTACGTACTTTGTGGGGCCATAGCGTCCTTGTTCGGTGATTTAGTGAACAGGGATGCCAAGTATGGCTCTAGGAGAACATCTCAGACCAAGGGAGATCCGTTGAATGATTTTGCATGGGTAATATGACGCAATGTTCGAAAGTACTGTAAGGGAATGGGGCACACCGCAACCATGGGTGGAGCTATCACAGCTTGGTTGTAGGCGAAACACCTACTTTCTGCCGTACTTTGATCTTGATCTCGTGTCACGGACCTGGCCCCACCTGGATCACTCCCCGCATCTCAATGCCTTTGTGATAACTTAGGCTCGCGAAGTGATTCGAAAAATAACTTTGAAAAAAGTTGGAAACTATGGGTGGAGTGACCACAGCTTCCAGAGTTTCACCTTCCAAAAATAATCCAGACAGACAGTGATTCATGCTTTCAATTTGCGATGGATCTCGGCTGGATGTACGGAATTCACAATTTTAGCTGTGGATGGCGCTGAGGGGGGATGACCCCTCGGTGGAGAAGATTTCCTCAGTAAATAGCGTCGATCAAAGTCGCAAATCGTGCATAAATAAATTATGTCCGTGATATATCTGATCGGCCCTTTTTGGATTTCTGTTTACTTTTATTCTTGGTTAATAAGTCGAATTTTAGGGGGAATATGTTTGACACACAATGATCACGATATATGATATGCGATGACCCATGACCATGAGCCACAGACACGACCGGCAATTGCCATTCAAAACGCATTGTACCGTGAGTGCGGTAATGGCCTTGGGTTAATGATATGGGGAAAAGCTGATTATTCATAGACATATTAGGAGTATTTATTTGTTTTATCAGAGCTCCAACAACAGAGAGGTGAGGCAGTCCCGGTTGTTAATAATTGAACGGGAGCGACGGTATACTTTTACGATCTCGGGCAGAGTGAAATGGATACATTTATTGTCATTAACCTAATCACGAATTCTACGTTTATACCGTAAGAACAAAAGGTTAATCGTTGGATGGGTTGCTCCTGAAACTGGAAGGCAGTCAATGTTTGCTCTTTGATGTTACCAAACGAGCTATCAAAACGGGAGCGAGATCAATTCCTACACTTGTGTGTGAGCAAAAATTAAGTGCTTGCAAACGTCCTTCTGAGATGTGTGGAATCGCGTGAGTTCGCAGTTACTGCTGTTTTATGTTAGGCTTCTACAAGTTAGTCGTTTAGTAAGAAACCTATTTTAAACTGACAGTGAACAGCAGGTAGGGTACGCATCCAGAAGGAGGCAACGTGGTTGTGTGAGGGCTCACACAAGGAGGGGGGAAGTTGCGTTTCAGTAGGATACTTGAAAGGAAAGTAAATTTGTCGAAGGAGTGAATCTTGTCGTTCATCAAAATTAATTTATCCCACCCTAATAATTCACACTGACTGACGTCCCGAAGGAAAAGTGAGTGGATTGGGTTGTGTCGGATTGGTCTCAAAGGGATCCAAGATCGAACTGGCATCTTAGGAATGACATACTAGATGCAACGTGGTTTGGAGAATGATTTCTCGACTTTCAGAATCCAGAATTGGTGTTTTCTTAAATTCCAATCAGGTTAGAATCAATATGCCGAAAGCCGCGATGGTAAGGGTGGGGATCGGGGTAGGGTATGGGGCAGGGGAATTGTATGCGCATCGAGGGCTTCCCTAAAGTTATAGCATAGTGGTTTGGAGACCTCCTAAGGGGCAGGTCCGTAATGTACTTTGGAATTGGAGAGGACAGTTGGCCCTTACCTGAAAGGAAGTGAAAGTCTTCCTTGTTCCAGGTTGTTTTTGTATGTTTTCGGAAGGAGTACGTATCTTTACTCACCGCCTATCACATCCGGTAAATATATCACACTGAATGAAAAGTGTTCGTTATGTTTAAGATGCGTATACTTTTAATCACTAAAAATGAAATAACGAAACAAATAACAAGTCAAATTCATTGCTAAAGCTTTCAGCCTCGCGGTCATTGCCGATATCGGCTAACCGGCTCAACACGTTAGACGTGTGAGTGCTGAAAGCTATGGTACGTATACCATGAAAAGCTGAGTTGGAATGAAATGGTGCCCCGGTAGCGTAACTGGTAGCGCACTTGCCCGGAAAGCGAGAGGTGCGGGTTCTAGTCCCGCCTGGGGCGAAAGTTTTGTTCACAACCCAGCATTCTTGTGAAACATTCGCAACGCGAACTGCGGCGTTAAAACAGCAGTTAACAAACAAAACAAGTCAAAATTCATTTTTAAGTGTCCAGTCGTCATTAAAAATATTGTGCCAAGCCAAGCGAAGATCCGTGATTGCACCGAGACGTTGTCAAATCATGCATGGGAAGAGCAGCACTCATGCGCAGTCACTAGCAGTGAGACACTTGTCAGCCCTGCAAGGTGTGTTTGTTTGCTCGCTTATTTATTTGATTGTTTATTTATTTATCCATTTATTTATGTCAATACACCCAAAGTAGGCACGTGGCAATATATCCCAGGCGCCGATGTGTACTGCGAGTACTGCGAGATTCATTCGTACTGCGTGGTGCACCGTGTGCATCACGCAGCCACGCGCAGGAGAATTGTTCTGTTTGATGTCATGTTCAGCACCAATTTTTTCCGCGTACAAACGTGTTCATCACACGGAGTCAAGCCGTGATAGCTTCCTGCTCCGCCCACTTCGGTGCATGCTCCGCCCATCATGAGAGCTAAGAATAATCCTTCGTTATTCGCTCTCTCCCCGGTTTCCCGGGGAAAGGGTTGAACCTTTCTGTGTTATTTGCATTTATCTCCACCCACATTGATGCAGACCCCACCCACCGGTAGCATTCGACACCCGTTTTCGCTAACCTCTGTCCACTTTTTTCCCTATTTTCGAGCAGTCTCAAGTCAGTTGTGCAGTTTTGTAGAAAAGACGTCTTACTAAAAACACCCTTAGCCCATTGTGCCCCCCCCCCCACCCACACGTTCAAGTGTGCCCTAGACACAAAAGGCGTCGCTCATCTGATCCTATTTTTTCTGCGTTGAACGCCTTCTCATATCCGCATGTAAATTCCTTGTTCAAGTGCCGCCCATCCGAAGAATGCTCCGCCCACCGCGGGTGGGCCTCCTTTGTGAAGCCTGTAAACTCGCTGCCTACCTGTATCCATTTTTTCCGGCTCGCTGGACTCTTGTGGGATCAAGTTCGAAATTTTTGCCGAAGGCTTTATCTACTCCGGTGTATGTCTGACTCATCGTGGGCGAGATGTCGAATGGCTAATAACCATTTTGCGCTTTTCGGTCTATGCCCCACCCATTACAATTTTTCGCAAGCTCTCAAGATGATTCTTTAGGTTATATGAATTTCGTGACAGGCACAAAGGCAGACTTAGTGCTTAACATATGGTGTAGATTGTAGGATACTCAAAATTGTATAACTTTTGATCTCAACAAATTGAACTAGATTTCTGAAATCTTATTGAAGGAATTGTATTCTTTGAGCACACAGAATAAAGAAACTGCAATCCCTCCACCTGTTCACAATGATGAAGTGTTTTAGGCCCCATGTTTGGCGATGATCGAGACCGAACAGATTCGAGACGAATGACTGAGTGGAGATCTCTCTGTGGTACATGGGAAGGTTTGATGGCACTGTAGGTTTGATGAATAAATATCCTTCTATTTTATAAAGCGCTAACTTTGTGTGTCGGTTTGTATGTCTGTATGTGTGTGCGTGTGTATGTATGTATGTATGTATGTATGTATGTATGTATGTATGTATGTATGTATGTATGTATGTATGTATGTATGTATGTATGTATGTATGTATGTATGTATGTGTGTCCGTCCGCAAAATGAAGTGAGTGAGAAGGAAGCTCATGGGATAAACAAACCGCTAACAAATCGGGTAGCTTACAGGATTTGAGATATCAATGTTTTGTAGCAGGATAGTTGTGATAACACTCTTAGGGCTATATAAACACCTGCTTAGCACACTTCCGTTCATTCCACATGGTGCTGCAGTGGCAGCTGGAGGGCAGTGGAGAGAGGAAGGGAAGCGAAAAATCTACCGTCATATCATGATTGTGTCCCTTCTACTGTATGAAACACCATTGTGTTGCATACGCGTCACTTCCAGGAGGTGTTGGTGTCACAGGAGGAAGGGACCATAGCGGAGGATAGAAAGCTTGCGCAGGAAAGGAAGGTCCCGGCGGTTGACGGGGGACTAATCTGGTTATAATAATAAATTAATGTGGCTATACGAAGTTAATGTACGGTAGATTTTTTGCATTGAAGTTGAGCTATTTGCGGTGGTAGAGAGAAAAAAGACGATAAACCGAATTCTCCAGCTCAGAGAAGCGTCTCATTGTCGCAAGGTTACCATTAAATTGTATTCGACACGGATTATCCGGACTGGCCTGCGTCAAAAGTTGAAGCGTGACGTCTGTCACCATAAGCTTTCGATTATCTAGGATATTATTGTGTGAACAGTGTATATTAGGGCGTCGTCGTAGTATAAAATTCCTAAAAATAAAGAGAATGGGCGGAGTTAATGCAGTGGGCGGGTCAGTGTGTGTGGGGGGAGAGATCGGTTGGTCACGATGTGGTGTAATAGGGTGAGAGGGCACGGGGGGGCGGATGTAAGTAGTAATTGAAAATTCAATAAATGTAACAAAAATATATTATCCAAGGGTTGGGGGCGGAGTTTGTGCGGTGGGCGGGGTCTAAATACTGCTAATGCGGGAATCCGCGAGCTAGGGGTGTGGTGCCCCGCACACCAATATAGACAATCGATACACATACCTTTTATACGAATTCCTGAGCAACTGTGCTCAACAGTTCAAACCACAACTTGATCAAGAAATAATTTGCGTTCCAAGCTACTACAGTCATCAATAATTACAACCTACGAAGTTAAATGCACGCGTATGCCAGCAAACTCTGAGTAGTGGAGAAAGCTGTGTCACTACAATACTTGAAGTGAATGAACGTGGCATCAGTGATACAGCCGCTTGGCATTAGTTGATGTCCGGTGCAGAACGAGACACCAATGTGAAGGTGCACTCGTTTTCAGTAGGCGTTTTCTGGATAAGGACCCTCTACTATGTAGTTGTTAAGCCAGCAACACTTCTTCTAAGACTCGTGCTACTGGCAGTCTTAGCCTGCATTACTCGCTAAGGTCCCTAAGGCGGAAGGACGAGTCGCTCACACCAGCCTTCTTGGAGCCACGTATCGGCTTGCGCTAGATTCTTACCCCACAACCCTAAACGAATCTGTATCTGCGTCCAAGTCCATTTATACTCAATAAGGTGGATCAGAGTATTACATTCTCCGAGTAATCTTCACAGCTGTTCTGAGGGCATATTTCACGATTGCCTGGGTGGAATGTGCCAAGCTAGTCAGCTTACGTAGTTTCCAACACAGCGCTATGTTCCCGTCTCCGTTGCTCATCATTGATACTCTCTGGCCCTAGACGTTAGTGGGTCAGCCTCTTCTAGCAGCCCCGCCACTGTTGCATCTCTTTTGACTCTATTCGCTCTCGTACCCATGCACTGAAGGTCTCTTTTGAACATTCAGTCTCTTGCTCCACGGTCATACGCAATACCATGAATGAACTAAAACAGGACCTTACTGAGGGTGTTTTCGGCATTTTCCTCTGCTCTTTTTTATATTCAATCCAGAACTTACCCTACATGCGAACCCAACAAGCGCATGCAATGTGCACTCATGGACATCCTCTATTATGCCCCTTCCTTTTTACTCTTTGGTCGTGTTACAACGTTCAAATTGTTGGTTTCAGTCGAGAGCGGTAGTGATTCTATTTGGCGACGGTGTTCACAACTTCGTCGATGGGCTCGCCATCGGTGCTTCATTCATGCATTCGATGAAACTCGGCATAATCACATCAATTGCCGTCATATGTCATGAAGTGCCACATGAACTAGGTAAGCTAGCCGCTGTACGGTACACTCAAGGGCGCTATCGGAAGACGGGGGGGGGGGGGCGTAGCGCGGTGTAGAGCGCTCAGAGCTCTCACTTGTGTGCATTTTGCTGGAGAAGTCCTCTAAAGCAACGAGCTGCCAGCGGCTCACACATCGTTTCATCGAGTTGTGTGTTGCAAGGTTTGTTGCTTCTGAGTGGGTCGAAGGAGTTAAGGCCAGGGGATTAGGATTCTCGAGAGGAAATTCCGGGATAGGTGTACCAGTATTAACCCTGTTAGCTCAAATGTCCCCACCACGCTGCTCTCTTCCCTCCAAAATCTTCATATCCCCCGACTCGATTGAAGGTTATGTAGTTCTACTGCATCTGACGAATCTACGGCGGCGGGCCGATCGAAAGGATCTCCAAAGCCAGGTTTACGGTGGGGGAGCGTTACAACCATGGAACATGAAGGCTAATGCATCCTGGAGTCCCTCCCCCTCATTACGGCCTAATTTCAAAAAACCGAGCACTTACAAAAGAAATCGTCACCCTCTCAGGGTCACCCGGTCACCAGTTTTTCTTCTGCGAATCTTCCAATTTCAGCTACTTTCACCCTTTGACGACGGTCTCGCCCATATCATCAAAACCCCGCAAACACATACAACCACTGCTCCCATTCGCGTTTAACATGGTTGCTTTTTTCAACCCTTAAATGCGGCCCTCCTACCC